TGCAGTGCCGGTTGTTTCCCCGGCCACCAGCGAGGGTCCCACAAAAAAAAAAAAAAAAAAAAAAAAGAAGTAACAGTTCTTAGAATCCACCCTTTATATGTAACATATTTCTTGAAGAAGTAGCTTTGAAGCTGTTAAAATATAATTTTAAAAGGTGAAAATTATTCCTGTCCTTGCTGTGACTGCCATATTGTACTTCCCATGAAAAATATTTTCTCTCTGCTGATTATAAAAAATAACAAACAACTCTGTCAATTTTTTTTGTTAAATCATATGAAATAAGAATTAATTCCTTTTATAATGTCAAATAACAACCATAGTTTAAAAGTTGGCATGTATCCTTTATACATGGAAATACATTTGTGAATATATATTTTTTTAAAGATTTATTTATTTATACAAGAACTGGGGTACAGGCCAGATGTGCAGGAGGGTGAGAGGATTCACTAGAGACAGAGTGGGGAACAGAACAGGCTGACTGACTGAAATACACGGTCGAGACAGTAGAGGTCTGCCTTGCCATGTGGGTTGCTCTGAAACTGGCGGGGATCAAACCGGCACTGCAGAGGCTGTGCACAGCTTCACAGCACTGTGCTCAACCACCTGCCCCCCAGGAAGGCCACACATGTGTGAATATGTTTTAAATATAAATGTCATCATTCAAATTGCACATTTTCTACCTCAATGCATATAATTTTACCTCATTTTTAAGTTCATCATATAGATTTACCATGATTTATTTAATCTCTTTTCTGATTATCATTTAAATTGTTCCTATTGTTTTTTCTGCTTTAATGTTTGGTACATTGGACAATAGATATTTTGTACCTGTGTCATTACTTGTCTGATTATTTCCTTGGGATAAATTCCTGGTAATAAAACTGTTGACACTAAAATATGTGATTTTTTTCAATTATGGGTTTTTATTTATAACTTGTATGATGTTCAACCACCAGAAAAGCTTGCATAAATTTATACTACTATCAATAATTTTTTTTTGCCTTGCTTCCCCAGCATTTCTTATTTTAAAAACATCTTTGCAAGTCTTATAGATAAAGGTATTTCATTTCTATTTACCTTATTTGGTAATAAATGACTTGCACATCTCATATATCAAGAGAGTAGTGCCATGTAAAAGCTTCTGATCTTCTTCCTTAGAATTATGGTAGTGCTCCAGATACAAAAATCAGCATTTTTTTAATCATGAACTCAGAAGAATAATTGAGTTATTTGGATATAAATCTTCCCTCCCACCAAATATGTGTCTTCATCCACATTACTTTCTTGAAACTTTATGAGAAAATGGTCCTTAACAGTTTTAGTAAGCAGGAGTTGTTAAATCAGTGTCCTATATTAACTCCCTAAAACTGAGTGAATAATATTTTCTTCATTTACTATTTTCCCCATTTATGTTTACCATCTGTGTCTCAGCGCTTTTTTTCCTTATCACTTCTCAAGGAGCTTGTGGAACATTTACCCCCTACCCCTATCATTTTTGATACCAAGGATATACAGTATATCTGGTTTTATAGGACCACAGCTCATATGATAGCTAAGTGTTTGTTGTTTGTTTGTTTTACCTTCCTGTGTACCAATATATGCCTGCTTTGAGCTGATACTACCCCCATTGAGAGTGTGTGTGTGTGTGTGTGTGTGTGTGTGTGTGTGTTGATATTTGGAAAGAGAAAAAGCATTTCTATGCGTCAATAGTTGAGCTTCATGGGGCTCAGAGAAGAGTTCAGTGTTTCTGTTACTTTGTCAGGCTGTCCAGAGGGAACATTAGGTTTAATAATTGCCACCTTTACTTTGCCAGTCTATCATCATACTCTAGGCATAATACCTGGGGGTCCCTGAGTTGCCCAGAATATTCTAAGTTCAGTGTTTGCATTCTTGAGAACGTTGATAAATATGCTAAGGACACAATTACGTTATAGTTGAAGGCATTTTGTTGAATTTAGGGAATAGTAGTCAGAGTAACAATAAATGTTCAAACCTCTATCCTAGTAATTCTCCTCCTACAGAACATTTGCAGTCTCTGGTTGCATTTTTGGTTGTCACAGGTTGAGGGTGTGTGTGTTACTGGTGACATCTGTGGGGTAGAGGACTGGAATGCTATTAGCATTCGCTAATGCAAAGTTAGTTCCCCTCTCACCCACCCCAAAAAAGAGTTTGTTGATCCAAAATGTTGGTAATACTAAGGTTGAGAAACCCTGCTCTACCCTTATAATCCTACTTCTTGGAATTCATCTTTAGATAGTAATTCAGAATACAAAAACAATTATATTTATGCATACTCATTGAAGCTTTAGTAACTTTAATTTTTTTCCTTTCCAGACTCCTTTTAGAAGACATATAAATAAAGATAAAAAATTACTCAGGCATTCTCACAAATAATGTTGTTGGCTTTTGGTGTATTTATTAAGGTGGGATGTATATCATTGTATGTAATTATGAAAATCTTTATTCTTTGAGTCTTAGGAAGACATTTGATTGCCACATGAGGACTGCATGAATTTTAAGAATGCTAACTAATTCAAAACAACTTTTGAGATAATTAACTCACCCATTTCGGGAACTCTATTCAGCACCCTTCAATCTCTCTTTGTCCATTCTTTTACTTAAATCTTTTATTTTGAATTACTGTTCTCAAATACCTTTCATACTACCATAGAGCAAAAAAGTACAGGCAGGTTTTCAATGAAGTTAACTTTTAGTTCTCTATATTAGTAGAGGTAAATAATAGACCCACTCAGGGATACTGTATTTTTTCTTAATTATGATTTAATCGAAGAACAACTGGTAAAAAAATTGAGGCAGTAATAGTGTACATCACACTTGCACAGTGAAATACACACTTGGAGATGATGTTGAAAAGTAGAAAATGGGGCCTCCCTGGTGGCGCAGGCGGTTGAGCACAGCGCTGTGAAGCTGTCCGCAGCCTCTGCAGTGCAGTTCAATCCCCACCAGCCGGGGAGATGCCCACATGGTGAGGCAGACCTCTCCTGTCTGGCCCGCTGCTCAGCAGTGTATTTCAGTAGTTCTGCCTTTTCTCTTCCCCACTCTGTCTCTGGTGAATCCTCTCACCCTCCTGCACATCTGTCCTGTACTCTGGTTCTTGTATAAATAAATAAATCTGTAAAAAAAAAAAAAAAAGTAGAAAATGGAAGGTTTGATCAGCTGTCATACAATAAAATACTATATAACAGTTAAAATTAATATATATGTATTATCATAAATAGGTCTCTGAAACATGTAAGTGAAAAAGTAAGGCATAGGATATTTAGAGTGGTGATCTTGCAACAGATGTTAATATCACTCCAAATACTATGTTGTTTGTAAATCTGTAATTATATTTTAAAATTATAAAACCATGGATGGTAAGATACATACCCAGCTCAGGAACAGCACAATGGATGTCAATCTTATCAGTGACCTTTTTTGTTTTTCTTAGAAAAAAATATATGGCATTATGCAAGTTGGTTAAAACCATCTGCGTTTGGATACATTGAGTATATTGTTTTCTTTTTCTTTATTTTTGAAATATTGCAAGATCACATTTTTTAATGGTAAATAGTCTTGAAATTTGTTCATGTTTGAACTAAGGCCAAAAGATTTTTATAATAGTCACAATTTAACAATGTATATGTAATAAAACAGTATTGAATGCCTTGATAAAACCATAACTAGTTAACTGTGGCAAATAAAATTACTTCTGAGGACTTTTCTTTTTGGTTTTGGAATGTTAAGTACTTTCTGAGGGTATTCAGGGTCTACTGAGTATTAAGAAAGGTGAGTGGTTCTTAAAATTACTCAAGCAATGATTGGGGTGATTGAGTATGATTTACAATTCCACAAGATGACAAGTTTGTCATCTTTTTTACCCCTCTAACTTAACATGGAAAAATAAATATTTTTAGAAAGAAGTCATTTTCTGCAATATGATGAAAAATTCAATTTAACTTCTTACTAAGAAAGAAGGGTGGTATCTCTTAGACCCTTGATGGTAGTATTATGTATGCTATGCCTGCTTTACAGATAACAAATATTGCCAGGTGTTTTCATTTTGCAATATTATTTAAAGTCAACAACTGTTGTATTTACAATCAAGTTTTAATTGAAGTAACATTGCACTAGAACATCACAAGTTTCATTTACTAAATCCTATAAATTAATAGCCTAATAGGTTATTAATTATTAGAAGATGCTAACCATTGCTTGGAGATGCTGCCAGGCATTAATTTGCCAAAGGGCTGTTAGAAATTTTTTCTAAGTAAGGAAAGCATGTATAAAACCATCATGTTTGAAGACATTTAAATTTCTGTAATGGATTCAATATTTTAGCATTAAACATCTTTCAAAAGGAATATTTAGTGTCAACAAATTCAGAAGTGTTAAATATTAAAATAGAATGTGGTCATTTTCTAAGTTAGACTTTTAGTGAATTATTACTATTGATAACTGTATCAAAACAAAGTTTAAACCTGAAAGCAAAGGGATTCTCTCAGAGTGCATTTTGCTTAGCAACCAATTTGTTGTCTACTGTTTTGCTACTGAATACGCATACTCATGGCTCAGAGTGTATTTGTAGCCAGCTGGTCTCAACTGGACAATACTTCATTCACCTCATTTCCAGACTAGTCAGGCAAAGACATCAGCTCATTGTTTGTTAGTCATAAGGAAATTTATTTGTAAACTTCAAGTAGTAGCACATGGATCTCAAAAGCCCCTGAACTATGAGAAATTGCCTTTTGATTTGGGAATGTGAAGCCCTTAGAGTTCAGGACTGCTTTACTTAAATTTCTTCCTCTTAAAAATCCTTAAGTATATTATTTAAAAAATTTAGCCTCTAAAGTCATAAGAGAAAATAGCTCTTAGTAGAAAAGTTGCTAAGTTATAAGAATACTTTTACAATTATTATCTTAAAATGAAAATTCAGCAAGTTTCCTATGTGTTCAAGCTTTTATCTGCCTTGATCCTCACATAATTATTTTCTCTCTTAGAAAACAACAATTTTGTTGGCATGTGAAGCTTCAATTTCCTCAGAGTCAAGCTGTGTACATAGAAAAAAGGTATAACATCACCACTCTCTACTAAGAACTAATTTGTTTTTATTATGTCTGTTTTCATAATAAATTGTTAACTTAAATGTGCTGTCAATAGTAAAATTGGTAACAAAATTGTATATTTATATAGTAAAATGCTAACTACCACTGAAAATGAATGAAATATATACAGCCACATGGGTGAGTCTTAGAAATAATGTTGAGTGAAAAAGCAAATTAAGGAAGAATACTCATGGGGTATTATTGTTTGTATATATGAAAAGAAAACAGAAAATTAAACTGTTTTAGGAAAATGATAGCGGTGAAACTACAGAGGTAGAACTTAGGAAAGGATTAGCTCAGAAGTCAAAATGATAGTTACTTTAGGAGGCAGAGCAGGATGAAGGAGAGAGGTGCGGGGAAATTCAAACGGGCTAAAAACTTTCTATTTAAGGTAAGTGGTTATATAGGAAGTGAAAAATATCCAAAATTATCCACAAAGATTATTATTAACATCATACATACTGTGTCCCACAGGGAAAAAAATTTCAGACATGTATATGCGAATACTCATAATTGAGGTTAGTGTATATGAATAGTTTTTTATCCTACTTTTTTTTCATATTGAACATCTTCAGTTGTCATTTAAAAATTTTAATAGTTGTGTACCATTTGGTTCCTTGGATTAGGAAAACTGTAAAGTTGCTTTTTAAGTAATATATTTTGCATATATCTATATTATGCATAAATGACCTCTCCAATTTCCTTTATTTTCCCTTGTTTGGGGGTTACATTTCTGCTCCACCATATGTGCATGTGTTCCACTCACCCTCCGCCAGACCACCTGTGCCAACACCCCATCTGTCTTCCTCCTCCTTCCCCTTTCAATACGCTAGTCCCTCTGGTAACCATTAACTTATTTCACTAAGTCCAAGATATATTCCTGCTGTTTTGCCTGTGTATGTTTTTTCGTTATTTATATTCTACAGCTGGTTTCACTCATCTGTAGAATATCTATCTTCCACTTTTTGACTTATTTTACTGAACATAATCACCTTGAGGTTCATCCATTTTGTCCCCAAAACCACTATTTCATCTTTTTTAACAGCTGTGTAGTATTTTTTTGAGTACATATTCCACAATTTCTTTATCCATTCTTCTGTTGGAGGGCACTTAGGTTGATCCCATCAGTTGGCATTTGTGTTTAGTGCTGCTATGAACATAGGTGTATACAAATCTTTAACATTGGAATGTTCAAAATTTTAGGATAAATACCTAATGGCAATATTGCTGGATCATATATAATTTACACTTTCATTTTCTCTGGAATCCTCTATGCCATTTTCCACAGAAGCTGTACCAGCTTGCATTCCCACCAATAATGGATGAGTTCCTTTTTCACTACATCCTCACCAATGTTTGTTTCCATTCTTTTTAACATGGGCCATTATCAGAGGATTGAGGTGTTACCTCATTGTGGTTTTGATTTGCATTTCCCTTATAATAAATGATGTTGAGCAATTTTTCATTTGTCTTTAGTCTGTCTGAATGTCTTCTTTAGAAAAGTGTCTATTTTGCAGCAATGTGGAAAGACTTGCCCATTGTTTGATTTGAGTTGTCTCTTAATGAAGAACTTTTTTTTTAATTGAAGTAGCATTGGCTTACATTATTGTTGGTGGTTTGGAAGTATAAGATCCCTCCTCAGGTATCGCCACCATAGTATGCCTGCCTCCGAGTCACCCATAGTTTACCACCATAGTCCATTGTGCTCCATTCCCTTTACCTCCCACCGTACCGCCCTCTGTAGACTTCAGTTCTATAGTCAGCTCTCAAGGGTTAATTTTTCTATATATGTTTAATGTAGTTATATATATTTTACATCAATGTTCATTTTTGTACAGTGTTTGCTTTCTCCTCTCACGTGTAGTCCCTATAGAATTCCCACTGCCATTCACCGGTGCACCATTGCCATAGTTCCTGTGCTCTTCCCTCCCATTTTGATCCCTTTCCCTCCCTCTCCTATGCACAATGTCTCTGATTTATAGTTGCCTGTTAATTTTTTTTTAATTCATTGTTATTATTTTTCCTCAGATCCCTTATTGGGTTCCCCTGTATTCCTCCTATAAGCAAAACCATCCAATATTTTTCTTTATCCTTCTGACTTATTTCACTGAGCATAATCCCTTCTAACTCCATCCATGTTGGTGTGAATGGCATGAGTTTATCTTTTTTGATTGCTGAATATTATTTCATTGTATATATATCCCACATCTTCTTGATCCAGTCATCTATTTTTGGGCATTGTTGTTATTTCCATGTCTTAATTAGTGCTGTAATAAACATAGGGGTGCAGGTATCCTATGAATTAATGTTTTTGTGTCCTTTGGGTCGATTCCTGGGAGTAGAATTGCTGGGTCATATGGATGCTCCATTTTTAGTAGTTTGAGGAACCTCCGCACATCTTTCCAGAGTGGTAGGACCAGTTTGCATTCCCACCAGCAGTGTAGGAGAATTCTCAAGGGTTAATTTTTAAGTTTGCCTTTTGACCCTTAGTTTAGTTTCTCTATATTCCACGTGTAAGTGATACCATCCAGTATTTATCTTGGTCCTTTTGACTTACTTCACTTGTTATCCCTATGAGCTCCATCCATGTTGCTGCAAATGGCGAGTTTATCTTCTTGAAGTTACATACCAAACTAAAGACAGTGAAAGGATTTTACAGATAAGGATATATAGTACAGTAGTATATATGAATATGTATAAATGATTGAAAAGTGTTATTAGTTCAGAGCATTGTCTTAAATTTGTTTCTACAGCCTTTTCTATAATAATGTATTATACGTATATACAGGGACATTGGAAAACATAAATGCTCTGTTTTCAAAGAAAGTACTATCAATTTTTTAACCTGGTCTTAGGATTTTAGAATGAATTAATTTGAACATGAATTGAAGTTAGTATCTGAAACCTTTTTCAAAATTTTTTTATTTCTTTTAACTTTCAAACATATTTCATCTTGACTTCTTTCATGTTTGAGCACAGGTGTGTGTTAAAAGAGGCTTCAATATTTTATAATTGATTTATAGGGAGCTTCTCAAAATATTGTTTTTTAAAGAGTTTATTAAGTGTGTCCAAGAAGCTTTCTGAACTTTTTTCATGAGTAATTTTTGCTTAAAAGGATGTTATATTTTCCAAGAGTAAAATAAAAGTTCTGTGTTCAGTTATTTAAACAAAAAAGCCACAAGATTTAATAATGCTAAAGTAATACCTTTAGTCAAAAATTAAAATAATAGTTTGTTTCATTTTTTTTAATTTGTTTTCTTTGTTGGAAAGAGTACCAGATGACAAAACTATTAACGAAATCTTAAGACCATACATTGATCCTGAAAAGTCCGATCCTGTAATTCGTCAAAGGTATTTTTTTTAAAATCTTGTAACTTTTTGAAATTATTTAAAATTTTGAGTTATTTGCAATGTGTATGTTTATTTTGTAAAGGTCTAACTATTAAAATATGATGTGTCGGTACTCTTTCTGTTCCATTTCCTCAATGTTTATTAAGGCTTTATCAGAGATGATGTTTGGGATAGTAAAACAACATAGCTAATACTCATTCTTTACTGTGTTCCAGATACTTTTTGAAACAGGTAATAATAAGTGCATTAATTCATCCTATCCTAGTAGTACCTCATTAACATAGATTACTGCTATTATACCCATTTTTTCAGGTAGGAAGCCGAGCCTTAAGGTGGTTAGAAGGCTGTATTTAGCAATAAGCAGGGAAGTTGAAATTTAAATACAGTCTGGAGTCTGATTCTGCAGTCTTACCACTTAAACAGCCTTTTAAGGAACTGAATTTTCAGTAGAACTATAAATTATTTGAAAATTAAGTGTTTCCAAGTGTTAACACTTAAAGTGTTAAAGACAGAAAATCCTGATCAGCCTTTTTTTTAATAAAAGTAAGATACATTGTGCCTTCTGTTCCAAAATACGATATGAACAAAAATGGTTAAGATAGCATAGTGGAAAGATTCAGAATATCTGTGTTAGAATAGCTAGCTCTGTCCTTTATTAACTATATGATCAGGAGCAAGTTGCTTAACTTCCAGCCTTCATTTTTTTCCATCAGTAAAATGAGAATGAGAATAATAATATCCACTAGGTAGGGTTGTTATAAAGCTTAAAATAAATAACATGTAAAGTTCCTAGTATGGGACCTAGTGCATAGGAGGCAGTGCTCAAAGAAAGGAAACTATCATTTAGAGTGTTTATTAGTAATCCTGGGCAGGAGCCCAGCTGACTTCCTCTTCTCTAGATGGTACCTGCTTGGAATATGAATGCTGTATTTGGTTCCAGAAGGTGTTGAAACAATTTAAGATTGGGTGGATTTTAAAATGCCTGATCCAATTCTAGTTAAATTTCATCTTCTGCTTTTGAATTAAGTTTAGTGCTGAAACTAAACCAGATCCATGTCACATATCAAGCAGTGTCTTCCAGACAACTATAATAGGTGATTTTCTTTCCTTCTCATAATCTAGTTATTATTCATGCTACATTTGGCAGTAAAGCAAAATACATGTCACTAAATTGGATACAAATTAATTAAATTAAATAGAAAGATTAGTGCTTTTTTATTTTTTTTTTTTTAGTGCTTTTTTAAATTTAAGATATTTCATTAAACGGAGAACAGAAAGATAAATTTAAAAAAATCAAATCCTTGATTCCTTTAAGCTTGGAAATTTTAAGTATTTTTGAACTGCTCCTAAATGCTTAGTCTTCCATAGAAACTATCTTGAAATACAGTAAAAATCAACATTGGCAATTTTGTTTCAGGTTGAAAGCCTACGTTCGCTCTCAGACTGGGGTCCAAATTTTCATGAAAGTCGAGCATACACAGCAAAACTTAGTAAGGTAAAATTGCTTCTTACCTTATTTCTTTAATGTTTTCTAATTTTGTAATATAATTAAGTAACTTGGCTACCTTAAGTAACTAGTTACTGTACTAATTATCAACAAAGCCTAGGCTTTTAAAAATATTTTTCAAATTAGTATTCTAAAAATAGTTCTACTTATCATAATATGGGATAAATTCAACTGAAAAATCACCCTGGTTAGAATATTTTAAAGTTACATCATGTGCATAAAAGATTTCTAAGTCCTCTTTTAAATTATTTCAAGAAATAACCTCTGCAGCTGATTTCTAGTGTTCAAGTTTTTGTCTTTAGCAATATAAAAATTGGGGTTATCAGTTGACTTGCAAGCCAGGTCCAGGAATTTTGGATTTAAAAATTGCCACACTATTGATTTTTGACTAGTGAGAGCATCATTTTAAGGCAATATTGTCAGAAACTAACTGAGGTAGCATTTATCCTGAAGCTAGACCTGAGTTGAGGTAAAGCATATCTTCAAGATAGTTATCCTCATTTCTTCAGAACTTCATAGTTTTATAAGTATTTTCTAAGCATGAACAATGAAATTAGATACTATAGGGATACCTTTAAAAACAGATTTTTAGTTTTTTTTTTCTTTTTGTTAAAGATTTTTAAACTATAGTGTTTATATATATAGTCATAGGTAGGCTAAGATGAACAAATTTATATCTGTATATGTAATTGCAGTTATGTTATTAAAGGAAAGTATACTTAGAAAACCTCTAAGATTAGGTTATAAAATGTTAGGATATAAGAAATTTGCTACTGATCTACTGATTTTATTTGAGAAGTTTTTTTTTTCCAGAATACACAGGGTTTCAATTTATGTCTTTTTATTAAAGCTAATATGTCTGCAGTAAATTTGCTTATTTATTCAGCAAATACTTAATGAATACCCACTATTGCCCAGGTATTGTTCTAGACATTAGAGTGAGCAATAAGTAAAACCATTCCTATACCTGGGGAACTTATATTCCTAGTGGAGGAGAATTTATGTGAGCTTGCTTGTTTTAGCAAAACCACCCCTGTCCTTTTGCCACATTATTTCTTACCAGTTTATCATCAAAAAGTAAATGAACAGTTTTGAAGAGGAGAAACCTGAGTTGTAATGCCAGACACTGTCAGAGGGTGACTTGTGTTGCTGCTCACTGAACAATTTGAATACTCCCAACTTTGATACTGTCTATTCATTTGCAGTTTCCAAATCTATTAAACTTTAGACCTGTATTTTACTTTTTTTACTTTTATCAATAGGATCGTCTGTTTTCATGAAGCAATTGAGACACTGTTTCTGTTCTTTACATTTACTTTGCTGCTTTGATGTCTATATATGGCCTGGTTTTGATAAAGATGTGACTTAAGCTATTGTGGGATGACTCTTTCCAAATTTATTTTAAAACCATAAATTAAGTACATTTAATATTTTAGGCATATAAGTAAACAGTGGGGTTGATACAGGAATGAATAGTTTACAGTTCTATTGTACTAGGGAAAACAGACACGAGCAATGGTGACTGTGATTCCTGGCATGGATCTGTTTTCTGAGAAATGCTTATAAGTCCTGGAGAGGCTTAGAACAATGGAGTTTCCAGTGGAAGTATAAACATTTTCTAAACATTATTTTCAAAATAATGACTTTTCTATACTAGTCCTTTATTTTCAGGATCCTTCAGAGTGAAATTGTATATTCCATAGTAATATCCTTCCAGAATACACCATGTGTGGAGAAGTAGACTGTCCTATTTTACTTTAAGAGCTTCCAGAATTTGTTGTCTAGAAAGTTCACCATTGTAAATACTAAGTTTGTATTATATAAGTGATTTATATGTTTTATTATCACTGCTTCTCAAACCTAACCTAAATTATGAGAGGTTCCAAAATAACCTTTTTCTTTTATCCAAAAACCTATATGAAAATAGATTTTCTGTATCTGTCAAAAAAATAGTGTTTTAACTTTGATAAAGACCTTGAAAAGTTTTCAAACCTGTTTTCTCATCTGAAAGTGGGGATCAAGAGAGAAATGACTTTGCATCATTGTGAAAATTGCTTTGAGATAATGCATATGTTAGGTACATAACACAGTGCCTGGCACATAGGAAATCACTACATAAATACATATTATACATTTATTATGAATTGTAAGCACGAAAACATTCAGGTCAACATTTTGCTCAGTTGACTCAGTGAATCTGAGTTTTTGTTGTTGTTTTAATCCTAGAGATTGCTTTCTTAATAATAGGAAATGTTTAAAACAAAAACTCCCATATGGCTGACAGTTGACTCTTATTCATTACATTTTTGAAATAACTTCTTTCAGCAGAATGATTTCTTATATTTCAGGGAAGTTCTGTAAGTTCAGTATTAGCTATACCCTCAAGAGGCCACTCATTAATAACCACATATTAGTTTACATTTTTTGATGTATCAATAAATTGGCTATTGAAAGAATGTGAAGTGTCAGGAACTTGTTTCAAGATGTTTGTCATTTTTTTTTTAAGACTTATTTTATTTATACAAGAACCAGGGTACAGGCCAGATGTGCGGGAGGATGAAAGGATTCACCAGAGACAGAGCAGGGAACAGAACAGGCAGACTGACGAAATACACTGCTGAGGGAAGCAGCAGGCGAGACGGGAGAGGTCTGCTCGCCATGTGGGTTGCTCCGAGGCTGTCGGGGATCAAACCCGCACTGCAGAGGCTGCGGACAGCTTCACAGTGCCGCGCTCAACCGCCTGCGCCACCTGGGAGGCCCTGTTTGTCAGTTACTATTTCTGTACAAATGACTGCCAAATCTAGATATATTTTCACCCTTTCTTCCAAGCTGCAAATTCTGTTTTTAGCTATCCTAGCTTACTCATTTCATTAAATCTGAAGTTCAACATACCTAAATCTCATCACACCAAATCCATATGTTATGTATGTGTGTTCTTTTAAATGAGGATTAAATCAATTGATTGGCCATTTCCCTGTTATTGGTATTGTCATTCTCCTCAAGCAAGGTGTGAGAGTTTAAATCCACCTTTGAATTCTTGCTGCCCTAACCTTACATAATTGATCTCTATAATGAATTGTCTATGTTCTCTCTTCTACAGTCTTCTCAGGAGTCTGTTGTTTATTAGTGGAATGATTCCTTTTCCCCAATTAGTTATAATCCCCGTATCTTTTGAGCCTCAAAAATGTTTTGTACTTCTCATTGGTTCCTTCAATCCTATTTTATACTTTATCCCATATGATAGATAATCTCCCTTTTGAAGACAGTGACTGCCTTAGGCATCTCCATTTTTATATTTCCTGATGAGCTGTATCAGTGACTTTCCCATAAGACTTTAGTCCCTAGTTTTTAAAAGTAGTGTACTAAAGCACTTAAATATATGTGTGCCTGCTATGTGCTAGGTATTGATACCACTTTTATCTCTAAAGCTGGGCGTACACAACCTTTCCTATAAATGACCAAAGAATAAATATTTTTCGTTTTGTATATACAATTATACTTATCAACTCTGCCATAATAACACATAAGCAGCTATAAGCAATACATAAATGATTGGGTGTGGCTGTTCCAGCAAGACTTTATTTATAAATATAGTGGGTTGGATTTGGCCTCCAGACCATAGTTTGCTGATCCTGTGCTAGAGGATTTTTTTATTGGTTAATTGTGTTTTGTTTAACTCTTGGGATTTTAGTTCTCAGTATATAAAATGAGAGATATTTAACAGGAAATATTCAAAATCATTTGCAGAGATGTTTAGAAAGTGTGATACTTTTTTCTACCATGACATTTTAGAGAAAATTATGTTATCTATGTAAAGGCATTGAATGAGACCCACCTGACCTGTTTATCTTTCACTAATACCCACCTGCCAGCAAGCAAAGACTGTCTTCTACATTAGAGCCAAACTGACTACCCACTTCATGGTATTTGCTCATATTTTGAATTCCTGGATGCCTAACTTTACCTGTCAGCCCTAGTAGTGTCCAAGAGCCTGGTCTCTTTCTTCCTTCACCTACTGCTCCTACCAGATCCTGCCTGCCTTTTCACCTAGCCCATATCCCCACTGGCCATTTAGCCTCCCTTATAATCAACATCTTTCCACTGATCATTTAACTTGTATTGCTTCTTTCCTCAGAACAGTGCTGTTTTAGGTTTTAGTGTCCATCATAATCATCTAGGACAGTTGTTGGAAATGTAATTTTATTTTATTTAATTATTTTTTTAAGATTTATTTATTTATTTATACAAGCACTGGGTACAGTCAGAAGCGCGGGAGGGTGAGAGAATTCACCAGAGCCAGAGCGGGGAGCAGAGCAGGCAGAAGGACCGGAGTACACTGCTGAAGGGAGCAGCGGGCGGCAGGAGAGGTCTGTGCGCCATGTAAGACCCTCCTCCGGTGGCCAGGGAGTGGCCGGGGAGCAGCCGGGGATCGAACCAGCGCTGCAGAGGCTGCAGGCAGCTTTGCAACCCAGCGCTCAACTGCTGCGCCACCGGGGAGGCCCAGGAAATGTAATTTTAAACATATCCTCAGACATCCTGGCTTAGTAGATCTTAAACAGAACCCATAAAATCTGCATTTTTACAATCTATGCCTCTTATGGGACCATGGTGTATGTTATATCCAGGACTGCATTTTGAGAAACTCTAGCCAGGATGGTAAATTCCTGGAAGCATCCCTAAATGCTTTCTATAAAGTAAATGTTTGTAGATGTTTGTTTTGTTGAGGTTGTATAAAGACATATGCCATTTGATATTTGGATAGATTTTTTAAATCAAACTTGTATATCCTTAGAGGAGTTAGTCTCTGCCTTTGCCTGATTCAATTAGAAATAGAAAATTAAATGATCTTGTTTCAGGCTTCTAGAGAATGATTGAAAAATACACTTTGAAGAAATTTTAAATAGGAAATTTACAGAATGTATATTAAAGGGATTTTTAATGTCCTTCCATTAGAAAACAAGATCTTGAAAGTGAAGATTGTTTTTGTA